GGAGGAGGCGGAGGAGGAGCAGCAGCAGCAGAGACCCCCGCCCCCGCCCGCCGCCTCTCCAACAGCCCGGGAAGAAGGAGAAGGAGAAGAAGAAGAAGAGGTCTTCAGGATGCCCCTGGTCCGCGCGGGAAGGCAGGGACCGCTCCTTCCGCCGCGCCTCCTCCTTTCCCTCCGCCTGACCCGGGGGAGCGGGGCCGCGAACGCTCGCACCATTAAAATGTCACCGTCGTTCGCCTTTAAAGGTGTGGCCCCAGTTTTGTCTGGTCTTGCTTTGTTTCTGTGGATTTTGACCGATGTGCAAGTTGCACAGGCGACCACGGCGACCTCTTCCAAAAACCATATATATCGTTTCACATTTTCAGAAAGCGCTCTGGGCCAGGGAATCTTTTAAAAAAAGCGAAGAAGCCTGAGCCGCCTCTAGAATCCTCGGGCAGGAGGGGGTCTCTCTCTCTCCCCCCCCCCAGTGGGCCCTCAGTTCTTTGGCCTCCCTTGTTTCGGAAGTCCTTTTCCTGCCCTTTACCTGACCTTTGAGCCAAGGACTGCGAGGGACCCCCATCACTAGGCAGCCAAAAGCCAGTAGTAGGAAGCCATCCCGCCCGGCCTTCCGGAACTTTATTACTATTTGCTTTATCTTGTTTTATTTTTGCTGGTAAAGTTAGGCAGGAAGAAGTAGGCAAAACACAGGTCATGATGTGTAGAATGATCGCAGATTAACATCTGGAACCCTGAAATGATTACAAATGTGATTCTCCAATGAGAAAATTTATAAAAGGGGAATAACCAGGACTTATCTCATGAAATTGTTGCAGGAAGGGGCAAACTGGATAAAAATGTTAAGATACAGTACTCTGGAAATGAAATTGGGTTGTTAACAAGGATGACAGCCAATGGAGGTGTTGTTGTTGTTGAGTCGTTCAGTCGTATCCGACTCCTCGTGACCCCATGGACCAGAGCACACCAGGCCCTCCTGTCTGCCACTGCCTCCTGGAGTTGGGTCAAAGTCATGTTGGTCGCTTCGATGACACTGTCCGACTATCTGTAAAGAATCAAAATTAGGATCCAGGCGACCTGGGTTCAAATTTTTCTCCAGCCATGGAAACTCGCAGGTAGGAGCTGATGAAACGACTCCTTTGAACACCTGGGAGAGCTCAAAAGCTTTATTAGGATGGCTATAAATCAGAAAGAACTTGGTCACACATCACCTCCACCACTACACCTAGATAGTTAATCAATAGAACAATGTAAACATGTTGTTTTCAAAGCCTCCTGCTTTCGAAATCTGGAGTCTTCAGCACCTCAAAGTTCAAAGAGCTGAATGCTGGGATTGTGAGTGCTGGCATTCTCTTGGATTCGGCGCCCGCGTGTCCCACGCCCGCATCCTGGGCACAGCGAATGTTAACCAGCGCCCACCGTCTCATTGGGGGGAAGCAGGGGCTGCACGAGGGAGGAAAGACCAGGCAGAAGGGCCAGGGGGCCGAAGCCCTCTCCATCTGGTGCTATGCCCACCGGGTGCTTCTTTCGGCACCCCACGCCGATATAATCTGCTCAGCTCTGCAATATTCATAGGGGGAAAAAACACAAGACGATGGAACACCACAAACAAGCCACGGGGGGTGTGTGTCTTCCCAAAAGAAAGCTGACTTGCCAATTCCTTGGGAAGTAAAACCTCAACCATGCAACCACAATACACTATCAGGGCGTGGGGGGGGATATGGGAGTAGAAGAAGCCCCCCTCCCTATAGTGTAGGGTTGAAGGCCTTCAAAGGACCAAGAAAGGAGAGAGAGAGAGGCTTCCCCCAGGGTCTTGCACGCGATCTGCAAGAGGCCTTCGTTCCCTCCACCGGGACACTTCTGATGCAGAGAGAAGGCCCCGCTTGCTGGCTTCTCCCCAACAGCAAAGGAGCCCCTGTCTGCAAGTGACAGTGTTTTTTTTTTCTCCTTACTGACATTAATGTGTGGTAGGATATAGGGGGGAGTACCTGCATCACGATTCCCCCCCCTCCAATATTTAGCAGATCTCTGCAGAAAAACCTCGCTGGTTGATGTGGTGTTTAATGTTACAGGACACCCCGTGGGCTGGTTCTTCTGCCACTTTGGAATCTGAAATTCTTATCTCCCTTCATCCTCTGGAAACTTGTAAGGGTGGACAGAGCAGCTGAGAAGCTTCTGATAAGGGTGCCTTTAACGTCTGAGGGGAGAGGCCCGTTCCGTGGCGGAGGAACATCAAACAAAATGGCAGCCCGGTCTGGCCCAGAGTCTCAGCCCTGAGCCGGAAATCTGGGCCACGCATGTACAAGGTCTGCATCCTGCTCCCTTCACAATCATTGCTCTATGCCGCCGGGATAACTGCCACTTCCATTTTACAGTGCAAAATTAGGGATTCATTATTTAATACCACTCGCCTGCCTATCAGAGCAGTGGTGCAAATCATTACTGTTAACTACTGTAATTACCTTGGGGTGGCAAGGGTCCAAATAAGTTATATTTCAAAAGCTATCATTACTCTTGGTGTAGGGTGTAACTTTTCTAGTTACTTTTGAAAATTAATTTCACCAGCCATTCTGAGTCACATTTTTCTAAGCATTTTCGGGATGTAATATCACAATTAGCCAATACAGAGAAATGGAAATTATTTTCCTGGCCCACTAGCATGAATGTGTAGCAGTATTAATAACAGAGAACATGAATTATAACGGCAATCTGGATTCAGAGCAAGGCAGGCAGATTTTCAAACGGGAAGTTAACATGGCCTTGGAGGTGTGGCAATGTCTTAACTGTAGAAAGTTTCTGAAGAGTCTGACCAAACTTTGGTTTATATTATTTTAAACGGCACACAGCATCTAAAAATTGTAGCCACGACACCATTTTTTGTCTCAAACAACATTAGTTCAGATACAACTAGGATATTTGAAACACTGCTTCTGTCCTTAAAAGCATCTGGACTAGAGGCAGACGTTTATTATTTTATTTTTGTTTACAGCTGAGATTTTTGAAAATATAATTTACATTTTCCATATGACATTGCTAAAACAAGCTGCTTGTTTTAAAAATTGGTTCCTGTTATCTTTTTTTCAAAGTTGAAAGCACTGGAATACTGAAAGGGTTTGTTGCGACAGGAGCCGGCTGGCAGTCAAGTCCAGATGACTCTCCCAGGCATCCACACCGCCTACTCTTGCCGAGCACCCACAGATCCTGTGCCCTCCAGTCCACGGCTCTAGTGACTGTTATCTCACAGTGAAGATAAACTTGAGTTGATGGAGGCAGTACTTGATCAAAATCTTAGGTGACACGGGAAAGGTCAGCCAGAAAGGTCAGTCAGAGGTGGGGAGCTTATTTTTCAGTGCCTTATGTTCATAGTCCATACCTGCGACTAGCAATAATGAAATAAACTAAGTAAAGTTTCATTTATTTTCATTTCACTGAGGCAGTGAAAGAGCCAAGCTTTCAGAATTATACAAAACAATGCTTAACAGGCATTTTGTTCAGGCCACTAAAATGGGTTCTGTAGCAGAGAACTCTTTTCCTCTTTTTTCACGAACAGTTACTGTTTTGTTCACACGGAGCGCCTCGCCTGCAGCACAGACGGGTCAATGTCCATGCCATGTCGACTCAAAGGCCATGGGGAAAATGAGGGGGGGCTGTGTCTGCAGCTGCATCTCTGGCTGCTGGTGTTGCTGGGTCAGGCCGCTCGCTGGCGTGGCAACTGCCCAATTGGTGGCGCTAGGTAAGGGGGCCGTGGTGTGAGTGCGTTCGTGGCGCAAGAGGTGAGTCTTGCGGCTGAAGCTCCGGGCACAGTGGGTGCAGATGTAAGGGCGCAGGCCGGTGTGCACCGCTTGATGTCGCACCAAGTTGGTTTTGGAGCTGAATCGCCGTGGGCACTGGGCACACGCGTGAGGGCGCAGCCCCGTGTGCACAGCTTCATGCCGGGCCAGATGTGACTTTCGGCTGAAGGCCCGGCCACACAGCGGGCAGGCGAAGGGCCTTTGGCCGGCATGAGACTTGATGTGCGCCAGCAGGCTGGCCCGGGTGCTGAATGTGCGGCCGCACTGGGCGCAGGAGAACGGGCGCTCGGCCGAGTGCTGGTTGCGCCGGTGCCTCTGCAGGTGCCTCTTGTGTGCAAAGCAGCGCCCGCACTCGCCGCAGGCAAAGGGGCGCTGGCCCGTGTGGCCGCCGCACTGGTGCGCCGCCAACCCAGCTCGGTGCGCGAAGCTTCTCTCGCAGTGCGGGCAAGCGTAGGGCAGCAGTCCCATGTGCCCACGCAGGTGCGCGGTCAGGTGGCGCTTGTCACTGAAGCCCCGGCCACACTCGGCACAGGAAAAGGGGTGCCCCCCCTCGGCGTGGAGCCGCTGGTGGGAGGCCAGGTTCTTCCGCCAGGCGAAGGCTTTCCCGCAGTCGGAGCAGAGGAATGGCTTCTCGTCAGACGGCTGGCAGGGATTCCCCTCTTCCTCCGGTTCGGTCTTGCTGACCTGGTCCATGCAGAGGATGCCGTCCACTGCCTGGACCTCGGCCCCACAGAGGGGCCCACACTGTCCCGGCCCCGGGAAAGGAACGCTCAGCGTCACCGCCTCCCTCGGGGGCATAGCGTGGTCCATGCATGGGAGCCCTCTGCCCACTTCTGGTTCCACCTGTGCCTTGAACAGGACAGCAGCCGGATAAGGCTCCGTGGGCCCCAGGCAAGAGGGGGGGAAGGGTCCCAGTGCGGCCTCATCCCTGTACAAGAGGGGGGTCAGCCCCAGTCCGCTTGGGTCTCGGCAAGGGCCTCCAGCCTGCCCCAGCTCCACAGAGGCCAGGAGGGCTGGCTCATGTTCGCTGGGGGCCCCGTGGGGGTCTGCGGCCTGCCCGGGGTCCGGCGGGGGCCCTCCACAAGGCCCTGCAACTCGGCCCAGCTCCAAACCTTCCCCATGCGGCGCGCTTCCTTCCTCGTGCAGGTGCTGGTGCTGCAGCAAGTGCCGGCGGTGCACAAAGCTGCGGGCGCAGAAGGGGCAGGCATGGGGGCGCTCGCCGGTGTGGGTCAGCTGGTGGCGCACCAGGTGCGTCTTCTTGCGGAAGCTTTTGGGGCAGCGGTCGCAAGGGAAGGGGCGCTCCCCCGTGTGCACGCGCTCGTGTGAGCCCAGGTGGATCTTCTGCGAGAAGCGGCGGCCGCAGTGGGAGCAGGCGAAGGGCCGCTCTCCGGTGTGGACGCGGGCGTGCCGAGTCAGGTGAGCCTTCTTGCCGAAGGCTTTGCCGCACTGGGGGCAGGCGAAGGGGCGTGGCCGGGCGTCTCCGGGCGTGCCGCCCGCAGGGGTTCGGGGGGGCTCACACTTGGGGCAACCAGGGGCCTTCTCCTCGCTCAGCATTTGCCACTGCTGCAGCGCCAGGCCCGAGAGCGAGCCCAGCCTTCCGTGTCCGGCGGGGTACCCTTGCCCAGGATTCAGGCCCTCGGACTTGCAGACCCCCCCGGTGGGCAGGCCCGACAGCAGCACCTCTGCGCTCAGCCCGGCCGGCCACTCCGAGTACTCCTCGGCCTCCACTTTCACGGTCCGGATCAGCCACTCGCCTGCGGAGACGGAAAGGACAAAGGCGGGAGAAGCTGAGCCGGTGGCCCGGGTGGGAGCCGGAGAGAGCAGGCGGGACTATGGCACAAAGCATGGGACAGGGATCACCATCAGCCCCCCCCAGCAAACAATGATGTTAAGTGCCGCCCCCCCCCAAAAAAAAAATAACAGAGAAGAAAGGATAAGGAGAGCACCCTTCTGGAACTAGCCAGAAGAAAAGGCTGCTTTCCCTCCCTCCCTGAACTTGGAAATACACCTTTTGAGGCTTCCGGGAGTCCCGCAGCCAGAATGGCCACCAGCGTCGCTCCCCAAGGATTTCATGNCCCTCCCTCCCTCCCTCTCCTCCAGAGGAGGCTAAGAGCCAGAGCAAGGGGCTGAAGGGGCAGGAGAGAAGACTTCAAGGGAACATTTCCAAGGACTTCTCGATGGGAAGAGCATCGGACATGAAAGCAAAATGGACCCCCTAGGAAGGGGGCAGGCCGTCCGTCACGACAGAGGCTTGAACCGAGGCCGGGCACCCAACCCTCTGGGGCGCTTCAGCTGCGGATCTCAGGCTAAGAGCCAGAGCAAGGGGCTGAAGGGGCAGGAGAGAAGACTTCAAGGGAACATTTCCAAGGACTTCTCGATGGGAAGAGCATCGGACATGAAAGCAAAATGGACCCCCTAGGAAGGGGGCAGGCCGTCCGTCACGACAGAGGCTTGAACCGAGGCCGGGCACCCAACCCTCTGGGGCGCTTCAGCTGCGGATCTCCTGCAGAAGCGGCAAAGGCCCGGCAACTAAAGCAGGTCCCGGTGCTGAGCCCTGCCCAGAAGCCTCCCAAGTAGACACCAGGGTTGGTTTATGGGGGAGGGGGTGGACACCAAAGCAAGCACCGGCTGGGCTGCCCACGGGATATCCATCGCCAGGCTTTGAGGGACTGGGCCTCCCTCGAGGCCTGGAGCAGAGCGATCTGCAGCCCGGTGCCGGTCTCTCCCCACATTTCCCTGCCACTTGGCTAAGGATGCCGCGGTCCTTACCTGGGCAACTCCTTTCCAGCTGCTTTGGCTCTCCGGTCCCTCGCTGGTCCACTCCAGGCGGTGGCGGTGGTGGTGGTGGTGGCTGCAGATGCTGCTGTTCACCCTTCGCTGCTTGCTCTGTCCCTTGTGCTACAGGACCTGCTGATGCGAGAGAGCGAGAGCAGGAGGCAGCAGATGAGAGCCACAGTTCCACTTAGCAATTTGGGGGGCTGGGGTGTGTGAACTCCCACTCCAATGACTCCCAGAACTTTTTAGGTTCTGCTCCTGAAGAGAACAATCCTGACTTTGCACAAAGGGAACCCAACAGCAGCAGCCGAAGGCAGCGAGAACTCAGGGGAGGCTTTCAAGGCCAAACGTGAAATGGGGCAGAAGCTGCCGTCCCCTCGACGCCGCCCCAGAGCGACGGTTGCTAGGTCCCCGGACCCTGCTGTGCTTGCACCCTGTGATTCGAGCGGCTGTGATTGAAAAACCACCACACCAATCCCGGAGGACCCGACCCTACAGGAGATGGCAGGGAACGCATCTGGAGATGGTTCATCTTGCCCTGCTTCATCAACGTTGTCCTCCCAGGGACAACGACTGCTCAGGCCAGTCCGTTTGGATGGCCAGCATCCTTTCCTTTCTCCTCTCCTGGCGCTGGGTGGTTCACTGCACCCTTCCGTGTGACCTCATGGGCTGCCCGGCACGCTAGCCTTCAGGTCAGCCTCACGTTTGCCATTAAAGGATTCCCCTGGTCATCTCTGACCTGCACTGGCACCATCGGGTGGCTCTCTCAGCTTGGCTTCCCTCTCATCCTTGGCCGGATGTGGCCCACCTTCCTCCAGGCGGGCAACCATATCGGGCTGTGCAACAGGAGACCCTGGAAAAACAGAAAGGGTGATGTTTCCGGGTCATTGCGATCCCAGTCTGGATAGAAGGGAGGTGGTTTCAAGAAAATGACAGGCAAAACCACTGCTGGAGGATCAGAGAAGGGCTAACATTGTACCTGACTTCAAAACAGGAGGAACCTGGGAACTACAGACCGGTCAGCTGGAAAGCAACCCCAGGACCAGATTATCAAGCAGTCACTCTGCAAGCAAGTTGAAGGCAATGCAATAATAACTAGGAGCCAACATGGATTTGTCAAGAACAAATCCTGCCAGGCTAATCTGATCTCATTTTTTGATCAGGTCACCTCCCTGGTAGACAGTGGGAATGCTGCAGACATAACATATCTTGACTTCTGGCCGTCTCCTTCCACCTCCTCTCTTGGAAACTGCTCTGCCTGCCCATCCACTGGGATCCACTCCCTGGTATCTGGGACATGCCAGGGAAGATTCTCCAGAGAGGCTGCCAGCCCAGTTTCATCTCTCAAGGCCCACTTGGCCCGAAGGACCAGGGGCTGGGTGGGCTTCTCTCCTTACCCAGAGCCACAGAGGCGCCGTAGTTCTCCCGCATGGTGTCCTCATGGGCGGCCCAGCCTCTCCACCGCTCTGGGGCCAGATAAAGGGCTGCCGCGGCGTCCTCACCCCGCACGGGCACCTGCAAGCATCCAAGGCCATCTGCAGGTGAGGGCATGCTTCCTGGGTGTGGCTCCCTGACCCGACACGGGCACCCGGTGCACCAGCTCCACAAGCCACACAGGAGTCCTCTGCACAGAGAGCCACCAGCCGGCCTCCCCTCCCTGGAAGACGCAACGATGGGGTTGCCCAAGGGGCCTCACCCTGACAGCAAGCAGACCGCCCTCTGCAGGGGACCAGCCTGGGGGGCCAGACAGAACATCTCCCCTGTGGGCCAGGCTTAAAAAGCAGAGCTCTTGCCATCATCACAACTCCCAAGGGCGCGCAAGAGCTTTGGACATCATCGAACCATCCACCTTGGGACAGCCTCACCAGCCAGAAGCCACACCACCTGGGAGCCGCAGGCCCAAGAAAGAATGTCTTCCCGGCTCCCGACGGACATTCCAGCCCTATCACACAAGAACCCAAGAAAAACTAAAAGGGCAAAAACATTGTGGCACTTTACGGGCTGTTACCTTTTAATGCCAGCCTTCGTGGGCAAGTCCACTTCCTCAGACGTAAACCACTGACCAGGATCCGACTGCTACTCCCAGCTGTTTATAAGGAGGGGGGGCGGCAAACCTAGCCTAGCAGAGACCCCTCCCTCAAATCAGTGGGATCACCTGAGTGTTGATTGGCCATTTAGGCATTGCCCCCCCCCCCGGGTCTGCTCTCTACTTGGGACGAGCCATACGGGGTCGTGGTGATGGAAACACATCCTGCGTGGTCCAGGTGGCGGCTCCGTCCCCCCCCCTCAGGGGTCTCTCCCACTTGCCCCTTGGAATGGGGGGGGAGTCAGGGGGCATGCTGGTGACTTCTTGCTGTGCAAAGCCAAGGTGCTTCCTCCGCACTGCGGGACCGTGAGGAGCAGCGCCTGCAGGCGCAGGGTTGATAGGCCATGGTGTCCGGCACCGGGGCAGGCCTCGGGCTCACTTGCAGATGCCCAGGAGCCCCCTAATCCAAAAGCCCCACTGCATTGGCACCTGCCAGTCTCGCCAGGTGTTTTCTGGGCAGGCCCACCGGGCAGGGGCTGCGCTGCCTCAACTCTGATGCCCCTTTCTCCTCCAGAATTTAAGTCCCGAGAAATTCAGCCTGTCATCCCACAGGTACAGACTTGGAAGCATCACCGCCACCCCAAGGGTGGGGCCTGCCTCCGAGTAGACGTGTGGGGGCCTGCCTCATTTGAAGAGCCACCAGGAGATGCCTGGGTGGGACACGAGGGGGTTCTCTGGAGGTCCATAATATGTTTCTGGTGTTCTCACTTTTTCCACTCCTGCCTGCTTGCACCTGGTGCAAGAGGACTTCCCAGGGGACTGGGATCTCCGGCAGCCGTCCCACAGCTGAGACGTCGCTCATTCTGCAAAGGGGGTCTCTTTTCTGGCCTCCCACCTCCGAGGGGATCCTTTGGACCCGCGCTTCGTCTCTGAGCAAAGAGTCTTGCGACCCCTAAGAGGCTACCGTGTTTATTAACGAAGAAACCTCTTTTTTCTGCGGTCTTCTCCTCCTCCTTCTGGTGATGAGAAGGAGATGGGGTGATAATGGGATGAAGGCCCCTTCAGGGCTCCTCTCCCCCCCACCCCCCCAGCCCGTGAGGCAGGGCATCTGCATGACAACAGCCTCCTCCTCTGGAAGCCACCAGCCTCCTTTTGAGGACTGTCCAGTTCCTTTGGTAGAATTTGAAACAGTTTCTCCTCTTTCTTTTTCCTTTCTTCCTTTAAAAAAATAAAAAAAAAGCTAACACTCTGCTCCAAGCTGGAGAAAAGAACATCTGGAAAGGCTCGATGGTTGCTCT